AGGCTAAGGAATGTCACTCCCCTGGTTAACATGGCTGAATAACTACACCCCTAGGTGTGCCCTGGACTGAATGGGCAAGCACCCCTTTTGCAGTGATAGGATAGGTTGACCATGTCTATAAGTGAAACCAAAGCAAGGAAAAATATTCAAAATGTGGAGGGAAAGGCAAGACTGGAAATTGTGCTAAGGAGCTGGGCTCCTTAATTAGATTAACTAGAATTAGTATCATGCAAGTTAATGACATTTTTATATTTACAAAACTGACAAGAAGCTCAGCTACATCCCACCAGAAAGCAGAGGGCAAGGCACCTTTGACAGTCATTGCTCAACAGTCTGGGGCTGTCACATGCCTATCTCTCATTTATTCACTCATTCATTCCTTCCCTTGTTTACACATTTAGTGTTCAACACTAACCCCCAGATGTTTACTAGAGTCTCTACATATCACAGGAGCAATTCTGACAGCTAATGAAGTAATTTCTGCCAACAGGACACACAGTCTATCAGACAGGACAGATGTTTCTTTATTCAGTCATTCATTTATTTGTTTTGTCAATAACTAGGTATGACAGCCACTGACATGCCAAGATTAGAATAAATGTGACATGGAACTGACAGGGGCAAAGGAACCCTGGTCTCAGACTTCCAGGACCTCAGTCTGTAATCTTGGAGACACACATGGAAACAATAAATTATGGCATAGCACAGTATGCACTGTTGCAGAAATATACACCAAATGCTGTGAAGCTGGAAAGAACTCCCGCTCTCCCCGGGGAGTTCATGAACTAATGTTCAGGCTGTCTCCAGACAAGGTTTCCTACCCAGTGTTGATTTGTTCTTTAACTTTGCTGAAGGAATTTGAGTCTGCTTACAAACAACTAGGAATACACATGCTTCGACTTTCATCCCGTTTGATAAAGTCATCTACTCCATTATTGGCAAATTCTTCAAACTATCTTCTTTTGCTAATATAAGTAGTGCTTACAGATTTAACTAATTACCCTTAATTAAGTTAAACTGCAATTATGAATGCAGTCCCTGCTGGATTTGCTCTAGAAATGTCTCTGATAAAGGTTAAGGGTGTGCAGTATATTTAGAAATTGGTTAGCTGGCTGGGGAGGCACACAGTTTAATCTTAGCACTCTAGAGGCAGAGGCAGGCAGATCTCTATGAGTTCATGGCCAGCTTGGTCTACAGAGTGAGTTCCAGGTCAGCCAGTGCTACACAGTGAGACCCTGTCTCAATAACAACAACAAAATGACAAGAGGGCTTGGTGGGACTTCTTTGGGGAAATGGAAAACCACTCTGGGTTGGGTGAATTAGCTTGCGGTGAGAAGGTTGTCTAGACAGCTCTCAGCAGGTGCTGACACTGGGGACGAGTCTAGGAGAGCAGGGGAAGCCATGCTCCCCTCCAAATTATGAAGATGGAGGGGAAAGAGTGTCTGCATCCTCCACACCTGTTAGTCATTAGGTAGGACTGTGCCAGGGTGGAGACAAGGGGGCTAATTCCAAGATTCTTTTTGTGCACATAGCAGATGGGTTCTGGAGACCCGTGGGTGACGCCCTGCGACAGAGATGCAGTTAAGGTCGTTGAAAGTCAGTTGGAGACATAGAAATGAGCCCCATGGACACTTAGGTAGAGCAGCAGCAGCAGTTGCTAGGTACATGATGTATGAGCTTTTAGAAAATTTCAGACACCTTCAAGAGCAGAGGAAACATTCAAAAAAGTAAGACTTAGAGCTGTGCTTCTGCCCCACAAAAACTTGTTTGAGCCATACTACACCCAGTGCTTTGCCGGGCACCTTGAATGTTTTCTACGGTTATCATTTTTATTTCTTGCAAAGTTGTCATTGTGGCCATTTGATAGTTTTCCTGCTTGGGGTTATTGCATGTGTGTGTGTCCAGATTTCTACATGGGTGCCAAGGACCCTCATGCTTGGGAAGCAAGCATTTTAACCACTGAACCTTCTCTCCAGCCCTCTGCTTGGGGATATTACATGCCATACCCAATCAAAGAATAACGTCTCTGACCCACTGAGTCTGAAGAGTCCCTACAGGACTGCAGGCCAGTTCATCAGTCTGAGTAAGTGCCCATTCAACATAGCCTCCTGATAAGAGTTACCAATCCACCCTCCACATGGGTTTGCCTGAGTGGCTCCTGGGAACGTCCCTGCAAGCTGTGTGCATGAACATCTTGTTGGGCTGGCATTCTACCACTGTGCCTCTCATGATGTCGTTTTATGTTATTGATCTTGCCTGTTAACATTATTAAAAGCTCACACATTTCTCCTCATATTTTATTATAATCCGTGCAGCTTTCTGGAGGCTCTATCTCCTAGGAGATGAGCAGTTGGATCCATGTACTCCCTGTTATCTCTCTGGGATTCTTGGCTAATTAGTGGTTTTGCAACATTGAGCTGTGTCCTCCTTCCACTCGGCTGCCTGCATGTGACCATCAGCACTGACCAATCTGGCTTGACCTTTGAACATTATCTGATCTGATATTTTTAGAATTAATTCACTTATGTATATGTGGCTAGTTTATTATTTCTTAATTATCCATATTCAAGCAAGTATAGGTTTTTATTTTATACAAAATAATAATAATAATAATAATAATAATAATATTATTATCTGGGCTAGTAAGATGACTCAGTGGGTAAAGGCGCTTGCAGTCAAGCCTGATAACTTTCTTCCATCCCTGGGAGCCACATGTTAGGAGAGAACTGATCTGGCCTCCACTGTGGCAAAGACACACACACACACACACACACACACACACACACACACACACACACACCTACTTATATGGAGATGTAGTACAATCTCATATGAGGAGATCCTGGAGCTAGATGGCCTGAATTCAGATTTAGGGCTCCCCCACTCAGAAGCTGTGTGGCCTTGAGAAGGTCACTTAATCTCTCTGACAATTTGCAAAACGGGATTAACAGAACACTGCTGGGCTTGGTGCATGTTGCTGGATTATTAGGCCAGGGGTTTTCGGTATGGTGCCTGTACCATAGGTGGGCATTTACTATTTTCTGTGAAGATCATGGGGCCCCAGCTCCCTCTGTTTGTTAATATCCCTGGGATCCCTGAGCGTGCCCTATCATTCTTAACTTTTCAGTATAAAAACTGCGTACTCTATGGCCACTTTCACTGTTAACTCATAGCTTTTCACAGACATCACTTGTCCCAATTAAATGCAATTATTGCTACTCTTTCCCAATTACTGATGCTCAAATTGTTGCCACTTAGCCAGTAGGAGTTCTTTAAGCTGATTTTCTGTGTCCGTGCAGTGAATTCCTGAAGCAGTCTTGCTTTCTGGAGACACAAGGGTATTGTGGGGCTGGGATACAGCTCTAATAGCACACATGGCTAGCATGTGCCAGAGTCCGAGTTTAATCCCCGGGTATAAAGGGAAGATTATGAACCTATGTTGTCTTCTCCCATCCCCAAATGCATGAGATGGCATCCCAGGTTTCAGGAGTGTGGGGTTAGCAACTGAAATCTAGGCTCTGAGCTGGTGCTGAGCAATGTGTCCATCACTACTGCTAATGAGCCATTGGCCAGCGATGATAGAGATGACTTATTTTGAAATCATAAATTCATGCTTATCTTTCTCAACCTGACAAGTTTGTTTATGATAGTTCATTTGCCAGCTAGTGTGGGAGTTCCTCGATGGCATGTTTTTTTTGTTGTTGTTGTTGCTATTTTTTTTTTTTTTTTGTCTTACCTTGATAGCAAAAAGGATGGAGATAGGAAAATACGGATGTTCAGGAGAGCAGAGAACACAGGAGAGCACAGAGGGCAGCCAGGAGCACTTGCTTGATAGGAGGAGGATGGGGACACTGTGGGGATCCAATGACTGCCTGAGCTTCAGATTCCAGACCCGCTGACCTCCCTGCCCAAGGCACTCTTGCCTCACTACCCTCTCATGACACCAGCCTAGTCTCCCTGGAATATGTTTCAGTGTGATCTGGGGGCTGCCCAATTGATATCTGGGACCTCTGGTGAACTACACACTCCAAAGGGCACAGATTTCTTAGTTGGGGTGGAGCTAATAAAGTACAAAACCAAGGTGGTTTAAGATTTATTTTATTTTGTTTATGTGTATATGTGTGCATGTGCATACACACACACACACACACACACACACACACACGCACGCACGCACGCACGCACGCACGCACGCACGCACGCACGCACGCACGCACGCACGCACACTGCCTTTGGAGGCCATAGGAGAGTGTCAGACACCCCAGAGCTGTTTGTAAGTTGCCTACCATGGGTTCCGGGACTCCAATGCAGGACCTCTACAAGAACATTAAGCACTGAACTATCTCTCCAGTCACGTGCTTTTTTTTTTTTTTTAAGATTCATTTCATTTTTTACCAAAGAAGTTTAACACCAGAAGCATGTTTTTTTTTTTTTTCTTGTTACACAGTATAAATGCCATTGGATATGTGACAGCAGCGTTCCCTGCAGTGACTTGGGGACCCAGGGCTCCATTTAATGACTCCACCATCTGGGAGGGCCTAGGGGTTATTGATCTGAACTTGATCTTCAGCTGAGGAAAGAGGGCAGATGAAGGAGTGCATATGGAAGACAAACAGGCGAGCACTCGCTATGCCCATCATGTCACTAGCCTACGACAGTAGCCTGAACAGGACGCCACCTCAATGTAAAGGAAGCTGGGAGATGTAATCTAGGTGGGTACCCAGGAAGGAGAGTGTGAAGGATGCCTGCAGAGCTGAGCCTGGTTCTGGTCTTTGTAACATCCTGAGAGCCATCTCAGTTCTACAACCAAAGGCTCAGGCCCTTGACAGACATTTGTTAACTGAACAAGTAGCAAATGAAACAAGACTGAGAAACAAGGTAACTGAGGCCAGGCTGCTGGATGTCTTCAGTCTCCTGAGGTTGAACATGGCTTTCCTCACAGAGGCCCAGGGAGATGTCATGAACGTGTAACACTGCTCTGGCTGAGACAAACACAGCTCAATGCCTCTCCTGAAAAGACAACAAACAGGAACAGAGGAAGGCCTTGTCCAACCACCTACTACATGTGGCTTAGTTCTGAGCACAGCCTTGCCTTAAAAGAATTCCATCAAGGAGGAAGCATTTGAAGGTCAGCTGAGAGGAGGGAGCGAGAAGCTAGGAGTTATCTGCTCAGAAAGCAGTTGGAGCAAACAAAGAAAAAGATGGGCTGTTTTCCCAAGAGAAGGGGAGATGGAGTGGGAGGGTAAGGAGATGACCAAGGCAGGTATCTAGAAGTCTCAAACCAACAGAAACTCTCTCTAGGAAGGCCTATGGCAGGCTGTGAGGAGAGCCAGTCTTACCAGCTGATACAGCCTGGGTCTTATATTTGTCCTTTCATGACTGACTAATTTGACTTGGCATAACCCCTTTGAGGTTTATTTATGCTACAGCATGGTTCAATCTTGTTCCTTTTTTAGGGCCATTATTCGTATATTCCACTTTATTTATCCACTCATCTATTGATGGGCCTGTCCACAGCTTCCATTTCTTGACATATACTTAACACTACTGGACTGCTCGCTCATGAATGACCGATGGTACAATGAAAAGTATGAGGTGATGTGCTCCCAGGGAGCCATGGGATATCAGAATCCTAAAGTCATAGGTAGAGGTGTGATGTTCCTAAGCTCCATCCTTAGGGCTCCCTCCCACTGGGCAGCTGTGGTTTTGAACGAACGCTTGTACCAACCTCGAAGTCCTCAAGTGTCTGAAGGTCCCTTTGTCTGAGAAGTATGTAACACAGGGCCCTGGTGCATCCCCAGTTCCCAGTGTCAAACCTCCCCAAGCAGGGCAGCTTGCTGAGAATTCCCAGGAGAGTCTTTTCCAAGCCTTCGTCTTTCTCCTCTGAGATACTTCCAATCTGTGATGAGGAACACAGTGTGTGATTTTTTTTTTTAAGTTCTGGTGTTGAGATCAAACAGACCCAGGTTTGCAAACTTCGCAATCTGTGCGTGTTTGGGGAAGACGGTTAATTTGTTTGAGCCTCAGTTGCTTTGGCAAGAGGAGGAGACCAGTTAAGTTCTTGCCTGCATCTCTTTCTCCTGGGCCCCTCTCTACACCTCCGCACACTATTGTCCACCGAGGAAAGGGATCTGTGTGACTCCTTGCTGCTCATCTTGGGGCTTCTTTGCACCTTTTGGTCCTTTTTAACTCATTTTCAAAACAAATTCTCTTCCAATTATGGCAATTTGGGTTATACTCTGCTCCATTTTGGCAGGAAGGCCATTATGAGCTTCCAGTGAGATAAGAGGTGGGAACATTTGACTCAGGCCAGGACGTATCATAAATGGCTGGCAAATCAGGGCATCCTAGGGGGCGGTCTACTTTGGGCAGGGCTGTTTCCCTAAGCCTCTGTGACAAACAACACCTGAAATGTTTTCTCCTTTTTAAATTTGCAGCTTGCTTGGATCCTAGAACAATTTCTTTCTTTCTTATTTTTAAATAGCAGTGTTCTGGTGTCTAGAGAGAGCTGTTCAGCCAGCCGCCGAGCATACATATGGCATTAAAATATGTTGTGAGTTGGACAACCATCGCAGAAGTTCCAGGCCTGCCTCTACCCTCAGAATGCAAGCTATTATTTGTGTCCCTGTCTCATACATTTGGAAGCTCTGTCCATGCTGGCCTTTTTCTCTCTGGGCTTCTTGACTGGATAGTTAGAATGGATGAGCCCAATTTTTATTGTTGTTGACAGGAGGACCACAGGGCTGCAGCCTCTGCAGATAGAGTTGGACAAGATTCAAATGAGGTAAGGGACTGATCACTCTGCCCATGGGAACATGGGGATCTGGGGCAGCTTTGCCATGGGTGAAAGGTGCGACCAAACATAGAATGTGTGAGGATGCAATGAGTCACTGGAGTGACTGGTTCATTTATCCATCACTGAATGACTTATGTGTATTGAGGCCACAGAATATCCCTGAGGCTTGGGCATGCAGACCTCTTCTACACCATCATCTCCTCTACACAAAACAATAAAAGTTAAAATTAATGTTCATGTTCCAATCCACTTTCTGATATAGATTAAATACTATGAGATGGGTGTTCCTATTGGCCCTATGGTAAGAATATGAAGACCCAGACTTTGGGAGGGAACCACTTACCCATGATGCACTGGGATGAGCTGAGATTCACTCACAGAGATCCTAAAGTCAGCCACAACCTGGCTGTCTAGCCTGAGTATAAGAAATAATTTTTGGCTTCTCACTCTCTGCCCTCTGTAACAAAGGGATCAATGGTCCCTTCCCTGCTCAGTTCACAGCCAATGCCAAAGGTGTCAACTAGCACTATGTAATTCAGGAGGGAGGAGTTCTGTTTGGCATTCCTGAGTTTGAGCTCCATTCTACCTAATGGCAGCAATGTCCCTCGAACAAACTGTGCCTTATCAACAAACCAAGGAAGAGCACTGTTTAAGGACTCAACAACAAATACAAAGGACTGTATATTAGTTACTTTTCTCCTGGCTGTGACCCAATTCCCAACAGGTTGAAACTCATGGAGAGACTGTTTATTTGGCTCAAGGTTCAGAGGACACAGTCCATTGTGGTGGGGAAAGCATGGTGTTGGGGGCTGCTGGTTCGCATCTCAGTAGAAGCAGAAGGGTGCAAACACTAGGCTTAACTGTTTTGTCATTAAGGATAGTGGGTGTATCATTAAGGATAGCCCCCATGACCATCTCTATCCAGGGCCAGTCTTCCCTCCTCTGTTAACCCCTCCGGAATGGTCCTCACAAGGCAGATTCATCCTTAACCATGTCTCACCAGTGCCCTAGGTGTTTCTTAATCCAATCAAGCTGGTGATCAAAATTAATCATCACAGGCTTCAAAGCAGAGACATCCTCCAATGATGGGCTTGAGAGGATACCTCTGGGGTTCCAGAAAAGAGCATCCAAATGTCTATTGCTGATTATTTAATGTACCACACAAGCCTGAGGAAGTTAAATTTGTTTGGTATATAAATGTATGCATAAACACTTAACGCATATTTGCCCTGTTTGGTCCTTCTTCTCCATTCTTCAGTGTAGACTGTCTGGTGTGGCAGTTTTGTGTGCCCACTAAATGAATTCAGGGATTGCAACACACAGTTTTGTGACTTAAAAACATTCCTGATTTGAATTAACAATGCAGGACCTGAGAGGTGGTGCAGTGGTGGGCAGCACCCGTTGTCCCAGCCTGATGATCCTGAGCGCAGATTCACCAGATCCACGTGAAAGCTGAATGTAAAAGCAGGTGCCCATCATCCCGGCCATCCTACCCTGAGGCAGGAGGCAGAGATCTTAGAGTCTCCTGGACGGTGGAGGGCCAGCTAACTGGGAGCATGTAGCACAGCAGCAATGACCAGAGAGACCTGCCTGAATCCAGTGCTCAGAGATGTCTTCTGGCCTTTACATGCATACCGTGGCATACATATGTGCGCATGTTATACATACACACAGAGAGAAAGAGAGAGACAGACAGACAGAATCTGCCATTCAAACAAGTAGATACAGAAACTGTAGCACTCGTCTGTCTTCCTCTTCTTTCAAGTTCTTCACAGTCCAAGAAAGGATGGCATCGAGCTGACAGAACAGTGTTCACCGCCCACCCAGGAAAATTATGCTGAGAGTTTAAAATAGAGATTCACACCCACTATCCTTAATGACACATTTTTCTCTGAGTGCAGCATGCCTGGAGATAGCCACTAATGATAGTACAAGTCTGCCACAATTAGCAGGGCATTAAATATTATGGATTCCAACTTAATTTCACCCTTTTAGAACTTCATAGACTGTGCATGTGTGTGTCTTACGAGGTCCAGGACAAGTGGCATTTGACAATGTGTAAGTAACCAATGTAGCGCGTGCTTTTCAGTTGTCTTTGTGGAGAAGGGTGTGTGGTTTTAAGAGTGTGGGGCGGCCGAGCTAATGTAAAGAAGGTCATGGACTCCATAGCTGTGTTGTAGCACGTGCCCAACAAGTAGCAACTGTGGACACTGACAACCCCCTATCTACTTAGTGCTTATTATTTTTTCACAAAGTCTGAAACACTTTTATTATGAAGAATTTCAAATACGCAAACAGAAGTTGTATGACCCATGTGGACCCTTATCTAGCTTCAATAATCACCCTTTTCCTTCTTTTGAGACACTGTCTCATGTAACCTAGGCTAGCTTTGAACTCCCTATGAAGCAGAGGTGATTGTGAACTTTTGATCCTCCCGCCTCCACCTCCAGACTGTTGGGATTACAGGCCTGTTCTCCCACACCCAGTGCCAGGGATGGAACCCGGGACCTCATGCATGCTAGGCAAACACTCTCCCCACCAAGCTACATCCCCAGCCAGTAATGATCATTCTGACAATCTTGTTTTCTCTCTCCCCTCACTTAGTTTTCTGGACTAATTTTTAAAAATCCTATGTACTTCATCTCTAAAGAGCCTGATACAGATCTCCAACTCATGAAGGCTTTTTAAAAACTGCTTTACTGATATCACAGAAAACAATGTCTTCCCGTTGTCTCTCACATTCATCATGATTATCAACATCTCCTCAAAATACAAAGATGGCCAGTCCTTTCAGGCATGCTCCATCTTCTTCACGCCCTGGAAGAATCCAAACACACACCATCCCTGGAGAGAGCCAAAGTGTCTAAAACTGCTGCCCTGGCCACTGATCCCCCATTGCTGCCCTGGCCACTGATCCCCCCCATTGCTGCCCTGGCCACTGATCCCCCCCATTGCTGCCCTGGCCACTCATCTCCCCCTATTGCTGCCCTGACTATTCATCCTCACCACCCCATTTCTGCCCTGAACACTCATTCCCCCATCGCCCTTAACACTTGAAACAAGTTCCTTCTATGATTTCTGAACTAACTGGCTCCCTGGGTGCCACCAACATCCTGGCACTTGCTGTTACCCCTGCCTGCCTGCCTGCAGGTCTCAGACCCAGGGAAGACTTGAGAAGAGTCATCACAGACTCCTATCTAAAACCCCACCATCTACTGTGTTCTTCCCCTAAATTGTGTCCCTGTGCTACAGAACACTCGTCACAAGCCCTGGGTCTGTCCCTTGCTGCTTGCTTATTCTTTGTGTTGAGCTGGGGGAATCTGCTCTGCTCTAGTCCCCTGCCTCAGGTGGAACTCAGTGCTGGGCAGGAGGTAACAGCCAGCACCCATTAGTCTGGAAGGAGTCGGGAGCTGTGATCTCACCCTCCTCCCTTCCTGTCACCCCCAGATTCTCTCTTTCCACTTCTGAGGTCTTTCCCAGTTCATCCACCCACTTGTCTTTCCACATCCCCTAAGACTTCCACATCTCGCCTAAGACAGGTGAGAGCTCCTCCTGGGAACCTGCCTCTGCTTGCTCTACATTGGCCTCCCTCACCAAGCTCAGCCCCTCACTCGTCTATAACCTGCCTTCAATCCACTCTGCACCTTGAGAACCAAAACTGGCTCCTACTCGTCACTCGTCCTTGTGTCAAGGACACAGTTCTGGGACAACACCAAGCAGGTATCAGGACTGATTGGGTGAATGAATCATTCACACGTGGGGGATAGAATGGCGCCTAAAAGTCTAGGAAACAGAGGGCAAGTGATGAATCTGGGTCAAGGGGGCCTGAGACATGACAAGAGGCTTTATAAGGAAATGTCTGGCCAAGCCAGTGATGGCTAAGACCTGGAACAAGAAGGGGCCCTTTCCCCTCCCCCTGCTTTTCTTTTGGAGGGTCTGCCAGGTGTGAGTTCAGGAAAGGATAAAGTTAAGTCACCAGAACACAAATTTCACCAGGACAGAGCTTCCAGGGAAGGGATTTTTTTTTCTTGCACCATTTACTACTGTGTCTACAGCACCTGGAACAAAGCAGGTGCTTAATGAACTTGGAGACAGCCAAAGATAGAACAGGAATATGAAGTGCATAAGAACAGAGGCAGGAGAGTACCTGTTTTCTTCATTCCCTGGGCAGTTACATAGCATCTAAGAAAAGACACAACGCTACCAACCAACCTTGGGGCCACCAGCACCAAGCTTAGCTCACTGGGACCTGGGTCTGCAGTGCTTGGCAGAGCCTGCCACATATGTGTGCTGAGAACATCATTGATGGTTTGTGGTTGTGTTTGTGAAATGGACTTCATATTGCTTGACTTGAAGTTAGTTAAGATTCTCTACGTTCTTCACGTCTTCAGTGAAAGTTCTGTATTAGTTCCATCTTTAAGGATTTTTCTCAGCCCTGTTTTGAAACGTTGAATGGATTCCAACCCTATCAATCAAGGTCAGATTTGTCAGGAGAGCATCTGTGTGCGAACATGAGTGTGTTTGCATTCCATTGAGCTTTCTATTTTTACTCTATGATAGTACATGCCAGGCTGTCTCCAAATCGCAGAACTGTAAGTAGCGCACCAGCGTCTTATGATCTATTAATAGGTTCTCTATGGGGTGGAAGGAGAGGCTCTGAAGACACAGAGGCTTGGCTAATTCTGTACTACACAGTTCTTCAATGCAGGGGTGCTCTCAGTCTTTGTTACGTAATGTGCAGACGGTATTCTCCCAAGACGTGGTGTCAAAAGATGTAGCCCTCAAGTGCACACACTTAGTTATAGACTTTCATTTTTTTTTTGGTTGTTCAGGTGTCCCCCCAACTCCCCAGGACATCTTTCAGCAATCTATAAGTTTCCTGGCCTAAGAACAAGTCCAGAAATTCTGTTTTCCAAAATAACAAATCATGAAGAATCTTGCTTTTCTTCATCCTTAGTTAACTAAAATGTCTGCTTTACCCATGAAGC